TATAAATTATTCAAATTTTTCAACGCTTTTAAACAGGCAAACATGTGGTTGCTATGGGCGTTGCTAAGGGTTAATTTATGGAATTTGCTAAATTTTCACGCTTTTTAGGTATTTTTGAGCAATAAAATGACACAAATATGATTAAGTAGGGTTTAAAGTTTGTATTTTTTCCATTTTTGAAAAATGGCAAATTTCACTCAAAACACCACTTTGCATTGTGACCTAAGATGTGGTCCGTGTATAAGCCCCCGTATATAAGCCCCCCCCCCATGTATAAGCCCATCAAAAAAGGCTTATGAAATTATATAAGCCCAGGGCTTATATTCGGAAGTTTACGGTATTCCGTGATATTCCGTGATATTCCGCCATATTCCGTGATTTTCCGCCATATTCCGTGATATTCCGCCATATTCCGGCATTCCGGGTTTTCACAACACCCATTGATTACTACACCTTAAAAATACAACATTGGTGTGACTGGAGAGAGGAAGGCAACCAGACTCTGATCTTAACTGTTTGAAAGAATTTAAGAAATTCCTGCGACTTGCTAGCCGCACAAAATTCGATCAAATTATTGTTTTGGGTGCATGATTTTAAGATTAACTAGTCAACGAGAACTGCGACGACTGGAGATAGTATTCACAATTATTTCACGAAGATCGTCAAGGACTATTATTTGTGGCAGTTAGTTGCCTTTCCAACTAGAGAGGAGAATATTATTTATCTGGGCATAAATTGGACGCTCCTGTTGAAACACGAGATCTTGGCGTCATTGTTACAAGAGATTTATCATGGGGGGGGGGGGGACACATTGAACAGATGTGCGCTAAGGCAAACAAAACTCTTGGCCTAGTAAAACGCGTCTCCAAAGACTACCACGACCATTCCATTAGACTGCTCCTATACGTGTCATTAGTTAGACCTCTACTAGAGTACGCGAGTAGTCTATGGTCACCTTACACAGTAAAGCACAAGAAGCTTATCGAAAATTAACAGCGTCGTGTCACAAAGTTTATTTTGGACTACCCAAGCAATATAAACTATACGGAAAGAAAGATTAGCCATGCTGAACAAACTCCCATTGGAACATCGTAGAGAAACAATAGATCTAATTCTCCTTTTTAAGTCTAAGACTGGTCTCATTAACGCTGACCTCCAGACTTATTACAACCAGCTTCATCTGGCTATGCTACGCGAAACTTTGATGAGGCAAATTACCGCTTTTATTCATCCCATTGCCAGAATTACTTTATAAATTCATATTTCCCCAGGACAGTTAAGATATCTAATAAGCTCCCTGATTCTATAAAACATGCATAAAAGTATTTTATATTCATATTGTATATTTATATTTACATTAGTTTGCATTGTAGTATATAAAGGGGGAGGATTGTCAATTGGGACGTTAGTCCTGTTTTCCTCTCCTGTCACTCCGTCTTTGTGTCATCGTTAGTTTAGGTGTTGCATGCAAGTCCTGTATTTATTTCTAATTTGTAATTTAATGTAATGTGACATATTTCATTAAACTACACTAAACTAAAAAAAACTAATCGTAGTTGCATATCTTAAGGGTTATCTCATTGTGGTCGGAGGGCTCATCCTCTTCCCCTTAAACCTTTCTTACCATAATTCCATTACAAAGCCTGAGAAATACGCTCTTAATTCCAAACTCTTAAACTATTTTGCGCGTTGGACGTTAGTAAATGTGTTCCAGCACAAAATGGATGGATTTTACATCACGAGTTAAGTAACACCCTTGAAGAACAATTTATTTGTAACGGAAGATCAGTTAAGAAGTACTTTATCAACTATAATATTTTTCAAACTTCTACGATGCGTCTAACACATTCTTTAATAATTAACTTCACATATAATAGCCATGATATCAAACTGACAAAATCTATTTTACTGTGACAGTGATGTGACGAAGATATGACATTCAGACATATCTATGACCTTGATATAACTATGTTCTTTGATGTTCAGAAATACTCTTCTTTTTCTTTTTAACACGAAGAACAATGAAATTACCAAAGGTAGTTATGAATCATTTTATCCACAAATATGACGACAGAGAAATCCTGACGCATTTCAATGATGTTTGATTGATTGGAAAATATGTCATATGATATTGTCACAACGCACATCACTATTTTTTAATTTTTATTATTAGCCTATGACTAGTCAGCAAAAATTAAACAAAATAACTTAAAGCTATAGATCCATACACGGATTACTTCTAATCAATATAATACAAAATCATGCCTTTATGCTGCTGATTTTACTGTATCGTTGATCATGTGTTAATGTTAAGAGGCACATCAATGAGAGACTGAAAGAAAAATGGAAATACAAAATATAGTTGTAGTCTTGAACGTACCTTATCGACCTTATCATTCAACGTACCTTATCGTTTTCAAGATACATTTTCATTTCATGAAATGTTGGACGGTTGTCTGGCTTTGCGTCCCAACATTGAAGCATCAGTTTATACCTGAATAAACACAAAAAAGGAACCGATGTAAATTAAATGCCATGAAGACATGTAATGATTAGAAGCCACATTTGCCAATGGTGGAACATCAGAAAATATTGCTTACGCAAAAAGGTTCATGTAGCTAGTTACACATGAAAAAAACATATTTCAGAAACATTTGTGTTTCCCGAGAAGATAATTTTTTCCGGCAGCAAAGTTTGTTCCCAAGGATGTAAAAAACAACGATGCATTCGAGGAAGTATCGCATTTGCAAAATATTTCGCGGAAACATTGTTTCAGTATTATAGTTTTAATATAAGTGATAGTAAATCAATGGCAATCAACTAATCATCCCTCATATACATACATAGTTTTAATGGCCTAAATGTCACAAGATAAATACAGCATGAAATGCAAAATTTGAGCGTGGTAAGCAGTGTTTTAAAACAGCCATCAATTTTTCCAAATACAATTACTGGTTTCGCATGCAGAGTCGTTGAAAGGACAGGTAATGATATCATAGTCTATCAAGATATGATGGTCTGGAAACTAAACAGAAGTCACTGTTTTTATCTGAGTTTATGTTAATTTGTGCTCGCTCACGGAGATTGAGCTCATTGTATTTTCGTACAATTAAGTAAGATGAAACGTGCGTCCACGATGAATAATATCGAATGAGACAAAGGATTTGTGCACAGTGATGTACAGATCAACATCAAACCACATTTAATAGAATACATAGTTTGGAGACTCGATGAAAGTACAATATAACTCATTAACTATGTTGGTTTCGGTTTATGCAAGAATTTGTTTCACGTGTGTATTGTTTTTTTCCCGCACAACAAATAGCAATATTTAAATTGAGCATTTGTTCAAGTTACGGATGGATAACTCAACCACAAACTTGTTATTGGTTATTTGAGCGAAAATACAATACACACGTGACGAGATAGGAACGAATCTTGCATAAAGCTGGACAATAACATAGTTAATAAGTTATATTGTACTTTCATCGAGTCTCCAAACCATCTATTAAAATAACTCTGATCCAACAAAGGCCTTCTATTTTCTAGCTTTGAAGTTTGCTGGGATTCCAGACCATCATATCTTGACAGACTATGGTGATATCATAGGGTATGTAGCTAGTGAAAGACGGCTTTCTCTTTCTTTTTACAACTAGTACTATTAAAAGTACCTAATGTTCGTTTTATATAACGTTCAGCACCGCTATGACACTAAACCATGCAGGCCTGTTTTAACTTAATTAATTCACATAAGTTTTTTTTTAAATTTATTTAATATTCGCCCAAATCAGTTTATAGAATGAACAATTTAAATAAAAGTATTTACAATAGTAGGGCTAGGAACCGTCTAGAAACCATAAGGCTTTTGTTTAAGGTCCCTAGTTACAATTCAAATAATATAATATTAAAAGTTAATACCAGTCCAATTGTTTTCAAAGGAATTACGTTGATATATTTACAATAAGGAAAGTGCATAAAGATATATTAGACTATAACAACTATTTGGCTTTCCACTTTGTGCTAAGAATTCTACTTATTTAAATTTGACAGAAGAAAATATATTTTCATTGTCGACTTAAATATTGGAAGAGGTCTAATTTGCTTATATTGCGTCGGAAGATTATTCCACACATCGATGCCGTTATTACCGAGTGTGTGTTTTTTATAATTTGTTCTAGTACAACTTTTGTGGAGCAATGATGCGTTTCTTGTGTTATAATTATGGATTTCTTTGTTAGTTAAAAAATATTTATTAAAAATTTCTGGAAAATTTTGTAGATGAAAATATCGGAACATAAATGGACTTGTTAAAAAATCATTCAATTTATACAAGTTTAGTATTTTAAGGTCATTAAAAATTGGTTCAGTATATGGTCAAAATAGGATTTGAAGGTCAATTAATCTTACTATATCTTTTTCTGGATATTTACTAATTTTTGAATGTGGGATTTGTAAGCGTTACCCCAAACTAAATTACAGTATATAAGATATGGATAGACCAATGTGTAATAGAACAGTTTTAAGGAATTTAGGTTTGTAAAATGTCGTATTCTGGATATAATAGCTGTACATTTGATAAATTTTTTTAAATAAGATCTATATGATCGCACCATGATAACAATTCATCTATAACAATCCCTAAAAACGTAGTTTTTTTTACTTGTTTTATAGTTTCACTATTTATAGAAATTCTTAAATCACATTTAGGTTTCTTATTTTTTGATCTGAAAAGGATCAGCTTGGTTTTCGCAGTGTTTATAGATAATTTGTTTACATTCAACCAATCTGTAATTTTGTTCATTTCAACTTGAATAATTTCCTTTTAAGTTTTGAGACAAACATCGCTATACAGTATGTTAGTGTCATCAGCAAATAATATAATTGAAACCAATTACTGCATGCAATATTGAATATCATTTATGTACAAGAGAAATAATACAGGACATGAAACTGATCCTTGTGGCACACCGCTTGTGATAGTCATTTCTTCAGATTGTACTCCGTTATATTTTACATATTGCTTTCTATTGTATAGATAATTTTCAAACCATTTTTTTGCTGTTCCTCATATACCATATAATGTTCCAATTTTCGTATCAGAATCTTGTGATTAATTGTGTAAAACGCTTTTGACAAATCAAGGAAGATACCAACAGTGAACTTCCCTTCTTCGATTGCTTTAGTAATTTTATCAACAAAATCAAGTACAGCAAGTTCTGTTGACCTGTTGCGTCTGAAACCATACTGATGTTTTGATAATATCTTGCTCTTATCAATAAGATTTGTTAGTCTCTTTATCATAAGCTTTCCCAGTAGTTTAGAAAAACAAGTAAGGACTGATATAGGTCGGTAATTTTCAAATCTATTTTCTCCATTGCCTTTAAACCATCTAAAAATATAAAACTATCAAAAACGTTTGTAGAAAGTTGCTCATCAAATATAATTGAAAACCCGAATGAAATAGCTAACAAATTGAATGACTACTTTATTAACATAGGTCCTACTCTAGCAAACGTTACAAAATCAAACACAATGAAAACGAGAGTTTTGAAAAATATTTTTCTGGCAGTTATCAGTCAAACTTTTTTCTAAATGCGATTACGGAACATGAACTTGAATTAGAACTTGAAAATATGAATTTGAACAAAAGTTCTGGATATGAGGGTATTAATGCTAACATCACAAAAATAACTGCGAAGGAAATTTCTAAGCCATTAACACATATTTTTAGCTTATAATTTTCATCAGGAATTATTCCAGAAAATTTAAAAGTCGCATTAGTTACGCTAATTTTTAATTATTTAGTACTTCATTTAGCGTTTTCCACATCATTTTTGAATTTTTCTTGTATTTAATTAACTGTTCTTCATAACAAATTTTCTTTGCAATTTTTATGATATGGTTTAGTTTATTTTTATATTTTCTGTATTTTTGCCTATATTTATTATTTGGATTTTTAAGAAGGGTTTTGTATAATTTATTTTTATTTTTAACTGATTTTAGTATACACCTAGTCATCCATGGACTCCTTACTTTATTTATTTTTGTTTTGTTTTCTTTTAAGTGGAAAATTTGCCTCATATACACCCATAATTCATAAATAATTTCAAAAACTCATTATAAGCCTTTTCAGGGTCATTAGATTCGTTTAATACTTCATTCAAGGAAATATTTTTAATTGCGTCTTTGAACGATTCTATGTTAGCTTTATTATATTCTCTTTGATAGGGTACTGTAGTCTCATTTGTGCTTCTGTTTTTATCAGACATAATTGAATTAAAAATATGTACAATAGGTAAATGGTCTGAAATATCGCTAAAAACAACACCATTTACACTATCATTAAGTTTTTCTAAATTATTTGTGAAAATATTATCAATTAGCGTTGCAGTGTCATCAGTTATTCGTGTTGCTTTAGTGGTTAATGGAAAAAAGGACGATGTGAATAATTGTTCGGCAAATTGACCAGCGTAATCACAAGACTCTGATTTGAAAAGATCAATGTTAAAATCACCCATTAAATAACAGATCTTATTTTCTCTGTCAATCTTTTCTAAGATTGTGTTCATAGTATTTTTAAACGTAAAAAAATCTCCGCTTGGTGGTCTATAAATAACCCCAACAATAAGATTTTTACCATTATCATTTATAATTTCAATAAATTTAGTTTCAATTATACCTTCAACATTTTTGGTTAAGTCGTTCCGAGATTTATGCTCCAATTGTTTTGACACATAAAGACCTACACCTCCGCCTCTTTTTTCTGGCCTATTAGAACCAAAGTACTCATAATTATTCAAAGTAAAGCAGTTCACAATATTGTCATTTAGCCATGTCTCAGTAAGTCCAATTATCTGAAAAAGTATATTCAAAGTATCAATCAAATTTTTTAAAGAGTCAAATTTGTTCGAAATACTTTGTATGTTTAAATGCATTATTGAAAATTTTGCTTGTATATTTTCGCATTCTATTCGTTTTTTGAAATCCTCTGGTAAGTAATATTCACACTGAATCTTGTTTGTATTGAAGGATGAATCAAGGTCCGCATTATTGCCGGAAAGCGCTATGTTTTGATTTGTTTCAAAAGGAATAAATCGTAATTGGCTTAGTCTATCCATATCGGGATACGATTGTCTTATTGTTGGATCATGCAACGTTTCAAACTCGTTATCGTTAAGATTTTGAAACGGTAAAAGATTATTGATATTATCTAGAGAATGTTGCGCCATGGTTTATAATATTAGAGTAATATATAAAGATTGAATATTAGATAAATTTAAAATATGCACACACAGAGATTGAAATTTGATACCCAACTCATGCCGTGTTGGACTCGACATATAGTTGACCTTCAATATATAATTTGTCCCTCACCATTTTAACCTGCTTGTGTTCTTGTCTTGCCTTTTTCAAAACCGGGTAGAGACGTTTCCTGACTTGCATTATTTCCTCAGGGAATTGCTCTGAAATCGCAATTCTTGTTCCTTTTAGCTT